CATAACATTTGTTATGAATAAACAGCTTTGTACAGAGGGCTCAGAAGATGTGTTGCTGTTATAAGCATGGAATTATATTCATTCATTAGCCTCCCCTTACCACTCAAAAATCCACCCTGATTACTTCAGCAAGCCAAGAGCTGGCAGCCTGACTGCCCCAGAAGGCTGGCTGGCTTCAAGGGGAGCGCAGTGTAGCTAGACACAGGTAAGCAAGGCAGGATGGAGGCTGCTCTCACCCAGCCATCAGTGTTTCTCTGGCTGTGCAGCACCGCTTGACACTCTTACCGTTCCTACAGGAGCCTCAGGAGTAGCCACCTCTGGGGTGGCTTTCTGGTGAGGTCAAAGCAGAAGAGACCTCTTTAACATCTGCAGATCACCTTTACAGATGCAAATGTGCATTTGCTGTCCTCACCAGCCAGCTGTGTGCTACTAAACCAAGCTAACACCACTGACTTCATTTTGCACCTTGAATCCAGGAGGGCAATGGGCTGTGCCAGGGAGGACAAAGCCAGCAGACGGAAGGGACCTTGTGCCCAGGAGACAGAGCTAGGCTCATTCATGTGATCAAGTATACTGCCACCAAGCCACAGAAAAAAACAGAGCTGGTTTTGTCCGCACCATCTGAACTCTGGAAGCAATCTCTCCACTCTGAAGTATCAAGCACAAAGCTGTTCAACTCCAGAAGGATCTAGGGGCAGCAGCATGGGTATGATGCTGCCAGCACATACCCCTCCTGCTCAGACCGAGTCCCTTCACCAGCCCCTCCTGCACTGCCCAGCCCTCCAGTTGCCACCCTCCTGCACTCCACTCCAGCCACGCTACCACCAAGCCAGACAAATGCAGCTGGGAGGAGCAGAGGAGGGGAGGAGACGCAGAGGCTGTAATTGAGCATCTGTGATGGGCAGCAGCAAAGCAAATAGGTTTCCAGCCTTGAGCTGGGGTGGAAGAAGCAGTGAGTCTTCTTTGAGAGAGGGCCAGGCGCGTACAAAAGAGGAAGCAGATCCTGGGAGCTGACAGCCACGCTGCATTGCACATCAGTGCCAAAGCTAGCAGCACTTGAGGTGAAGGTCTGCCCATGGGGATCACGGGGGTTTGAGCTACTGGGCTTCAGCAGCTGCATCTGATGGCTGATGGAAGGGAAGGTGAGCCCTATTCTCCTCGCCTGGTGCTGCAGGGCTGCACCATCCCCAGCACGGGGGGGAGAAGAGGCCCTCTGATTTTTCTCTCTGCCAAATGCTCCTATGTTGCTCCAGGCCTCTGACTGCACCTTACCATTCCCTGCTCCTCCTGCCTGTACAGGCACACAGCCGGCACTGTGTGGGGAACCCAGCTCAACCCAAAGAAGGTGAGACTGTACAGCACCACCCAGCAGCCCCCATTTTATTTCTCTCTAAACAAAGCTCTTGCACAGACCAGTCCCAGCAGCTCCTTGCACTTCCCCCAGGCTCCTTCACACATCTTCTCCAGCTAGACAGCTGCCCACTCTAAGGGCTCAGTGTCCAACTCCAACCCATGTTCAACCACAGGCATTGCAATCCTCCACCAGCTGCCCACACTCCTCTGCCATGTCCATGCTGTCATGCTGGGGTCACAGTGCTCCCAGTCCTCCCCCACAAGGTGCAGGCACCTTCTCCCACTTGTTGGCAAGTGCATGCTGGCATCACCTCAAGTGTCCCCTCTCCAGTGTTGCCAGTGGGAGTCTGTAGGATGCAGGAGCATCACCCCAAGCTGCAACTCTGTGGCCACCTTGGGCTCTGGCACAGATGCATAGCCTCAGCACAGCGTATCAGAGGCTTGTGGCTCCTGAGGCAGGCTAAGCCTATGTGTTTCATCAGACCAGGGCTATAACCATTTTTCAACCTCCAACAAGGCTTGTTCTGCCACTATTTTTCTCCCAGTGAGCACAAAAACTCTGGAAAGGCTCCTCAGGTAGGCAGATCCAAGGGCTTTCCCGGGTGAGTCTGCCCTGCTTGCAGGGAGAAAAGTCATCTCTGCCTTCCACCAGCCTTCCATGCTCTCAGGGGAGCAAGACGCCCCCCAGGAAAGCCTCTTCTCTCTTATCAGCCCAAGGCACTGGTGTTGCAGGCCCAGCCAGGCCCTGCCTCCAGCTCAGCCAGCACGGCTGCCAGTGCTCAGGGAAGAAGGGAATTGGGCCCACTCTCACTGACACATCTCAGCTCTCTGAAACTAATGAGAATAAAGACAGTAAAGGCTTAGACTAGTCATTAGAGTCAGTAGATCTGACTCTAAATATATTCAGAGAGTGGATTTGCTGGAAGAAAACACCATTTCTTCCATTGCTTTCCATGTCTGATTTGATTTGGTGTTGGATGTTTTTAGCCCAATGTCCAGCCATCTGTCAGCACACTCTCTTATTTTGGGAGGATAAATCACCAAAGAACGTGCCCGTTGGCCAGAGTATGAAGGACAAGAAGATAGTGTCAAGCCAAAACGCCCCTTTGCAGAGGGTACTAAACCTTTAAGGCTAGATTTTCAAAGGGATTTACATGTCTAAGTGCCACAAATCAGCATCCGAAGGTACTTCAGTAATTTTGTAGGGTCTGGTCTGGGGTACAGCAGCTCCTGCAGCAGCAGAACGATGCTGGCTCTGAGGAGCCCAGGGGGCTTCTTAATCACCTTGGCATCACCCCTCTTGTGAGCAGGCAAGGCAGAAAGCTTGAAGTAGAAAACATCAATACTGGTGACTGGTAAACAGGCAGGAGGACTGCAGCTGCAGAGCTCAGAAACTGTGCGTAAGCAAAAACCCAGGGCTGTGGTGCAGGGACTAAACAAGCTTGTGGATTGAGGCTTGTGATTTTCAAGACACTGCCTGAAGGGTCTGCACCTACCGAGGGAATAATAATGGAGCTGCAAATCAAAAGAGCCACTGGTCTATACAAAAGGAGCCATGTAAAATGAACAGGACCTCCCTGTTTACACATCAGTAATTATACCAGGAGCATCAACTTTAAGACCAACAATGCATTTAAGGATACATCCAAGCTTTCCAGTGCTGTCTGAAGAACTACAGCAAGGTGCTTCAGAGGGCAAAAAAGCAGGTCTAGGCTTACAGCTCATAGGACTTGTAGTGGCTTACTACATATTTGAAAATAAAATACCACTATACAAGATAATTGTTACAGTGACTTGAATAACTTGTTTGCAGTGATATAACTTTTAAACTTACTCAAAACTTCCCAATTATTCATTTGGAAAAAAAACAACCAAACAAACAAAAAAAAGGCTTATCTTCAGCTTTTTTCTAGAACCCTAAGTTTTTGAGGACAGGGCATGCAGGATGCATGGGAGGATGCATTTGTTGCCTCCACTAGAAACACAAGTGCTCGACAAGCTGGCAGGAGCCCAGCTCCCCTTGGGAAGCACACTATCCCTACCATCAGCCCAGCACATTAGTGCTCCTCCTTCCCAGCACAGAGGAACCACTGGGGCTTACATTTTCATTCTCGTTTCCCACTGCCAACATCAAAACCCCTCTTTTCCTTTTCTTCTACCTAAAGGCTCCCTGCCTGCCTGCTGCACAGCTAGGTGAGTTCACGCTGCCACGTAGCATCCCGGGCATCGCCCTGGCTTTGTGCTTCCCAGGAGAGACCTCTCGGCACTGCTGCAAAGCACCTGCTGATGATGCTACACCACCTCTGGAGATCCTTCCCCTCCTGATTCCTCCTGGGACAGGTGGATGATGCCCCACTATCTCCTAGTGCCTGGCACAGGGCAGACAGGAGCTTGGATGGCATCAGCTGCCAACGGGTGGGCAACTGAATGATAACCCTGGTGTCACCCACTCTATCAGCTTCCCAGAACAGGGCGTTTTGCCACACAAATTAAAAACAACGCAAAAGACAACAAAAGGCTTTTTCCAGCCCAAAGCAAGGCCAAACAGAAGTGACCGCTCCTGCTGCAGAAGCTCAGCTGTCTCCAGAGGAGAGGACAGCTCAGCAGTGCCTGCCAGCACACAGCAGCTTCAGACATGGCCTGGGCTCAGGTGCTGTGACAACATCATATCAATAACTGGCAGTCAACACTTCACAGCACCAGGGGTGGCTGCAATTAACCTGGAGGAACCTACACCATGAAGCCTCAGCTCAACTGAGTGCCCTGAGCTGTAGGGCTCACTCCAGGGCAGCGATTCCCAACGGGGGCAGCACTCAGGGCTGGATAACCTGCGCTGCCCTGCTTTTCCCATAAGGCAGTGAGAGCCCCCTCCCAGCCCCAGTGGGGCAATCCAGGACCCCATCTGACCCCCATGCATAGCTCACATGGGGCTACTGGGATTTTTGGTTCAGACATTCTTTCAGCAGACCCTCTTTTGCCATGCAGAGCACAACAGGAGGGCAAGAGAAGCTTTTTACCCTCATGCATGGAGTCTCACCTTTCCCTCTTCTCCTTCATTGTTGCCTCAAACACCTCATTGTCTTCATCGGCATCTCCATCCTGCAGCCCATCCTTTGGGAAACCGGAGCCCAGGGCAGGGGGCTCCTCTGGCGTGCTGTTCCTCCTGCCAGGGGTACCCCCAAAGCTTGGGTTGCTCTCGCTGTCTTTCTGGCTCTCAATTGCTGAATCCACTTCCTCCTTCTCAGCCAGGATATCGTCAATGTTGGTTTCACGATAGCACCTCAGGGGCACGGTGTCCAGGTCTGTCTCAGAGTACTTCACCGTCCTCCTTATAATACCAGTCTCACAGGACTTCTGGCTGCCCGGAGGAGACATCTCTATCTCCACCTCCACATGGCTCAGGCTGTGCTTGGGCATAGAGCTTGGTGGCTCAGCAGGCAGCAGGCAGACGGGCTTCTGGGGAGGCTTGGTCAGGGGAGTGGAGTTGGGGACAGAGGAGCCTGCAATGGAGCCCCAAGCACTCAGAGCAGCAGGGAGCTGAGCTGGGGAGTGCAAGGGAGCTGCTTCTGCAGCTTCACGCACACCAAGAGAGAGGTCGTGTGCGTGATGGGAACCAGCAAATGGAGAGGAGAAGTAAGGAAAAAGGGTGGGGAGAGGCAGAAAGGGGAAGGAGTTGGGTGCTGTCAGTGCTAGTGAGCCCTTAGCCCCAGTCTGAACCCAAATACCCTTCTGCAGAGGCCGCCAGGGTCACGGCTCTGCATCACCCTCTTTGCACAATGCATTGCATGGCTGCAGGCGAGGTTAGTGCATGTAGGATCTGACCCCAGAAGGACATGGACTGGCTGATCCTGGGGGGAGCTCAGCTGTCCAGTGGGCACTGACAACTCCTGAGAGACACACAGCCCTAGAGGGAGTCCTGGCAGAGTTTCAGACTTGCAAAAGAGAGGTCAGTCTGGCCAAGGGTTTCCACTCCATCAACTTCTTACCTGTCTTTGGGGCATCTGAGGAGCCATAGAAGAATTCCCACTTGGCCCTGGCAATGCGCTGGGCATGGGCTGAGGTATGGCGGGGGTACAGCCAGGCGCTGCCCTTCAGAGGAGAGAGCAGTGAGCGGACACAGACCTCAGGGCAGGGCCCGCGCCCAGCGCAGGGCACTCTGGCACCTACCTGGGGTTGGGGCTCCGGCTTCGCAGGGCTCCTGGTGAAGGTGGGGAAATCCTCTGGCAGCCCATTGGTGAGGGAGTGGCAGAAGCAGTTGGCGTTGAGGGCGCAGGGCTCCTTCGTGCAGGGCCATGGCCCCTGCGGGGTGCTGCCCCCAGCCAGGAGCGGGTCGGACGCCGAGGCCTCCAGCTTCAGCGTGCGCAGGAGCTGCTGCTGGGGCCGGGGCTGGGGGGACCCCACCTCCGCACCGAGCTCCAGGCTGCCGCT